ATGGTGCAGTTGTGTGAGCACTTTTAAATGATTATCCTGAGACAATACAGCCAGTGAACTCTGGGAGCTGTGCTGCAGGCTGTATTATGACTGGTTCAAGTCCGCGTCCTGCTTATACATCTTTCTAAAATTATACACCACAATGAAGAAAAGCGGCCACTTTTAACAATGCCAAAAATTCAGATTTAGATCCCTGCTCTTTTTTTTATCTTGTTATTGTGTTACACAGGGACTGAAAGACGAGTCACAGCATTATGAAATCATGTGAGGAGGGCAATTATCCATCACAAAAGCCCCACAGAAAAAAATATAAAAAATAACCCACCGACTAGAGGAGACAACAGAGCCTTTTGTTTGCCCATTGTCAGTGACACAGTGCCGAACTCCTCCTCATAATGGCTTGTTTCTCCAGTGAGCCGCCTGCCTTCATCAGGCCTACTTTGTTCTCGACAGCAAGTAAACTGAGTTTGTGAGACACATAATGGGCAGCTTATGTGTAACTCATTCAGGTTGCCATCGGATGTCGTGACCCCCAGATTTGAGTCACGGCGAAAGCAGAGTTAACTTATTCCTCCTCACACTCGCATGACAGACAGTCATTTCTGTTATTGACATTTGCCTAGAGTGACGGCATCTCCTGACTGTTGGGCATCATGTGACCTCGTAGTGGAGTTGTATCATCGGCGCAGTGTAATTATAATGCTGACATAGCAGTTCAGATGCTTGAACTCTGTCGACCTCGGCCTAACAGCTATTGTAAAATCTCTCAGCTGTTGACAACTGACCACGCAATGACAGGGTTTACAGTCGCCACAACTCCACTGTACCAACCTCAGAGTAGCGTTAGAGCATCACAAGGTCCTCAGTCATGGTCAGGTAGTCTTCGGTATGAAGAATTTGCTCTAAGTCTCAGATCTGGTCTCGGCAGCCGGACCTGTCCTCACCTTTAACACAGCATGGCATATATAAACAGGACTCGTGGAGGACTAGTATTGCTTTTCATACTGAGAAGAACCATTAAGTTTCACAGAGGTGAAGAAATAGCGGGAGAGTGGTATGTCTGCCAAGTAAGAAAGATATATATAAGTCCACCTCCATCTACTTAGCACACAAATTAAACCGAGTTGTCAGTGAACGTTTAGAAATCATCGCTTGGGTCTCTGCGGGCCTCGCTGTTTGAGCTGCAGTGTAGGTAGGCACTGTTTATCCTGGACCAGGCGCTTGATTAAAATGAGGAATGGAGGGAAAAATAAAAAAATAGACCAGTCTCTCGGTGGTCAGCCACAGCCTCCTCATCGCAGCCTCCACCAACGATCCGACTTTACCCCCCTTTTTTTGCAACTCCAAGAGCTATTTTAAATGTGTGTTTAGGTTGTGCTCGCGCCATTCAATATTAAACATTTCCCCTTATTACTTAAAGGCTGACTTTATTTTCCCTCAAAGCTGTGACTCCAAAAACAGCTGTCCAGACACCACAAGAAAGGGCCTTAAGTCACTGGAAGATGTAGATACCACCACTGGACTCCAAAAGAAAAATATCTACTTTTCATTACACCATACCGTGCCTTACAAAACAAATCACACAGAACATCAACATCCTCTTGGCGTCGGAGCGTTGTAGATTCAGTTTCTGCACTTCAATGAGTTTTTGGGCCATGCTGAACTGAGACCCTTCATGACTCTGGCTTCAGTCTATGGGTCCAGGTCAACGTCCCGCCTCAGCAGCACTGTAAGCAGATATTTACGTTCACACCAGCGGCGCAACGGCCAACAGAAGCTGATTGCAAGTGGTGTTTGTTTCCAATGAAAGCACGTTAATTCGGGCTTGGCCGCAGTGTAAACTACCTTGGCGTTTTACAGATGTCGCCTGTTGAAGTGAATCACTGTACCTGCCTGTTTGCCCCGCTGGGCCCTTCTGATGCCTCGCCAGAGAGAGTACACAACACGAGCCAAAAGGGGCTATTAATAAACCCTTCCTTTTCTAATACTGCCATACCTCCACGTGTGTAATGTCTGCGCCGGGCTAATTTTGTCACGTCATTTTTAGCCTTCGGAGAGAGACGAATACAGACAGCCTCAGTCTGAGTTAATTTTAACTCATCTTAGGTATCATTATCCCCAGATATTTTTCCAGAATTGATTTTCTTTCTGCGAAGTTCATCTGATGTGACAAAGCGAGGAAGGTAGATATTTTATACACTGTTAATAGCATGTATGATTTTAAAGCATGTTCTAACACATGATACCTCTATTATGTTTCTGTGAGAGCTTGTGATAACAACGCAAGTCCATTTGAAGGTGTGTGGTCCTGAGTGGTAGAGAGAGAAAGTGTCTGGCAGGGTGGGCCATCAACCACAGTCCTCAGGGCAGACCTTGGCCAGAACCCCGAGTATGGCCAGGCTCTTCAACTCCGCACACACACACACACACACACACACGCACACGCACACGCACACGCACACGCACACGCACACACACACACTTACAAGTATAGCAAGTGTAGTATCCGGCCACCAGCGGAGACCCAGTAATGAATGAAATATTATATTCAACATCATATTCCAGCATTTAATATTATTACCATCACATAAAAGCAAAGAGCACATATATTACAAATGTGTATGTGCAGCAAAATGATAACCTTTTCAAACTGGCAGTACCTCCCTTAAGTGCTTTTTTTATTTTTTGCATAGAACTCTGTCCACTGCTTCAATGCATACACATTATGATATTATGTTTAATCTATTAAAAAATGCACATAAACTTCAAATCAGAGGCTCTTCTGAAGATATAATTAGAAAAATCCATCCAATCAGGCCAGAAAAAATTCAATAAATACCTTTTTAACCAAACTTTTTATTTGCCAAATGTTCCAAAAACCTTTTATAACTAAATCTAAACCTTTTATTTGCATGATTTCTGGATAGGGGTTAATTGACTTGAATACAAGGAGACACAAGGAGTAGATGTGGTCCAGGTTTCTGTTTTGGAAACACTTTATTGTGGTTTTCTTAAGGTAGGTGAACCGCTGACCTGACCCAAAAAGTTGGACACGTAAAACAACAGTTGGCCGACTTTAACTAAACTTTGTTACCGTATCTGGGGAAAACATCATCCATTCCTGGCAATTTCAATCCTTGCAGTTGTTAAAGAATTCATGCAGAGATATCTGAGACTGCAACATCATCATAGTTCAGATTTTCGCCATCAAGGTTGTTTATCACATGCCATGCCACCCAAGAAGTTATGTTTCCTGGCTTAGGAGCGGAGTTTGACATTTGTGCATTCTTTTTTTCATTCAGTATTTCAGATTCAATCACGATGTGCAAATTATACTCCCATCAAACTGCATGTAATTTACTGTGGCTCAGCAGAACTCGTTGCACTCTGTCCTAAAGTTTAACGCTTCTGACAGCAAAGAATCCACTCGCAAAGACCTAAAAAATGGTCACATATAACATGAAATAACATGAAATATTATTGTTGGAGTACTGAGTACCAAACTAATTCTTAGTACAGTTTGTCTTTGCACTGGTGGGCCAAAACATATTCCGGAAGCATTGTTCAGAAAGCATCACGCTAAACTGCATTCATGACATGATCGATATAAATCTGTGAATGGAAATAGGTACAGTGTATGATCTGGGGGATTCAGTGTGTGTGCAGCATTTGAGAAGACTTTCCCTAAAGAAAACGTTTTAACGTGCGCTGCAACTCAAGAGCCATGTTCTTGTTTTAGACAGCAAATATTTACAATCAACAAACCAAATAAAAGTGTCCACTGCACAAAAATAAGGTACGTGGCAAAGACTTGTGGACATGCTGTTGTGTAGAATTTGGGGGGGATTGTTTGTATTTCAAGTTTGGCATTTGTATTCCCTGAAAGCACATTAAGGTCATTAAGTTTTTAAATAAAGGTTTTATTGCTCAATAATAAAACACATTTAGTTTCAGCATTTAAACAGATGATTTACACACATGTTTCATTATTTGTATTTTTAGCTCTCATTTTATACTGACTAGTTAGTAATTATTGCATGACTTCACTTGGATGTAACACAATAACTTGTATCATTGATGTAATGTAACGTTTGCACTTCAATTACTGTAACATTTTAGAATTTTAAGACAAATTGTGCTTATATAAATGCTCTATTCATGTACAAATTACACCCTAAAAATGTCATTAAACTGTACATTTTCATTATGTAACAGTTTTAAAATAAAAAAATTTAAAACGCTTCATCATCTACCTTTTCTGATATTTAGTTTTGAAAAAGTGTGGGATATGTATCTGTGATTTCTGCTATTACCTCAATGCATTACAAGAATAACTTTACTTATGGAGCTCACAGCAATACAGATATGCATTAAAAAAAATCAGCAGCACCACAAATACTTTACAAAGCACAGTTTCACTGACTCCCTGTTTAATAGAAATTAGTTACTATGAGTTACTTAATTAGATACCTCAAAGCACCTGGCACATACACATGGCTTTTTAAATTCCTATACCACAGGCTGTGATTAAACTACAATGACATATTTATGCAAATGACAGTTTAAAGGTAGTTTCAGTTAGCAATAACAAATCATCATAAGCCTAACCTAACCTAACCCTAGCCCAAGGCATTGGTCTTATATGTACTGCTTAGTCATACATGCCCACTGGCCTGTGGCACAGGTTGACTGATATACTTTCAAACCTGACTGCACTCCCAAGTCCTTTCCTCACATTCCTCTGCTTCTATACTAACACTGTCTGTGTTTTTGATCTGTTGAAACAAACACCTGATGGGCGCTGATCAAAGACGGGCCGTGACGTGCAAGGGTGTTTACTGCATGTGCGTGTGTGGGAATCTGTGTGTGTGATGATTCACTGGTGATTGCCGTGAGCTGGCTGCGCCGCACTACATGTTGGCACAGCCATTCTTGCAGGGCGTCCATGTTCAAGTGTGTGTATCTCTCCGGGTGTTAGCGAGACTATGAGAAGGCATCTCTTTCACATGGGGAGACAGGTGGCCACGATTTATGGCCTGTTACAGGAATCGCCCACGTCTGCCGCTTCTATGAGAGCCAATTAAAGGTCAGTGCGGACTTGCATACATACACACAGTTATTACAGTAGTGACACTGTAGTTACATGAAGTTAGTGACAGCAATATGAAAGTTTGAAACAGGAGGAAAACGCATCAAAAAAGTGACAGCTCTCACACAGTTCTCTGTAAATAAGCACACCACCCCCGCGCTCACCTCACACACACTCACCCAGCCTCTCTGTCTCTATTTTTCCCCATTCTCTCTGCTGCACATGTATACACAGTCACACACCCAGTCTCACACCGCGAGCGAGCCAGCTATTCGCTCCTCACTCAAACCCTCAAGTCTTACCAAGCTCAGCTCTCCCTGCTCAGAGGCAGACAGGAGCAACACAGCAGCCTGTTAAAGGAGTTGAAGAGAAGGAGCAGTGGAGTCAGGGAGAGAGACATAGAGAAGAAAGAGGGAGAGGGGGATGAAAGAGTGAAGGGAGAGCCAAGCAGAGAGAGCACTGTTCTCCATATGCTGAGGACTTATGGGCGGTTGAACAAGCTGCCCCCACTGAAGCCTCCTGACTCATGGGAGCGTCAGCCCCCGATCCCCCAGAGAACCCGCAAACGCTGCCGAACCACGCGTAACAGAGAAGGAGGGGAGAAAAAAAGTCAGTGGAGAGGGAAGAAAGCCACAACGGTAGGCTGTCCCACTCAACTGCCGTGCCGTGATGACGTCAGAGGACATGTGACCCGGGCTCTCCAGTGACGGCACATGGAGGGCAGGAAAGAGACGAGTTTTAAAGCTGGTGCCTTTTGGGTTGTGTGAGGGCTCTTTCTCGCTTCCCAAACAACCACAGAACCACAGACGTGCGGCTCGGGGTTGGTGTTTGAGGGCGACCCGGAGTGTAAATGGTTAATCGTCGCGGGCCAGCACCAGTCACAAGGACGGCGCTAAGCGAGTAAGTACGTTCCAACCACACTCGCCAAGCAAGCAAGTCCGACACCATCTGATCTATCCGCAAAGACGATATTTGCCTCTGCAATTTTTTTTTTTTGCTCTATAAAACCAGAACCTGGTTGTTACTTGTGGTCATCTAAATAGTTGATACGTAAAAGCATGTCTTGTGGATGATTTTTCCATTTTTTTTTCTTCATGACACGCTGCGTGCTCTTGGTTTAGGACGTGTCAAGGGTCACGGAAACCACAGAGGAACAAAAGTGGGGCTTGCTGCGACCAGAAGCAGCTATGGCATCTAACAGCCTCTTCAGCACAGTGACACCATGTCAACAAAACTTCTTCTGGGGTGAGTACCGCTTCTCTGCTTGCTGTTGTGTCTGGAGTTGGGTTATTGGGAATTGGGCGATGGGGAGGACTTGGGGTCAGGTGTTGAGGTTTGGATTGAGGAATTAAGGGGTTTTGGGTAAAGAGGGTAACGACATTGGATTTGATCCAGATGAGGGGGTATGGGAGGGGGATCAGCTGAGGTCATTGAAGACCCTGCTATCAAGGTCCAAGCTTTTTGTGGTGGAGAAAAGACCCAACTATCATCAAGACTTTCTGTGGTGCGCAAATACAAAAAAAACAACCAAAAAACCTCTATTCATTTAGAGATTCCAGTATTTACTCTACCCTATGTTTATAAATATTCCTCGAACAGGAAGATGACATGTTTGTGCAACATACCCTTAGATTTACAAAGCGATGCCATTGCGGAACCAAAAACAAAAGCGCGGGTGATATTTTTGACAAACGTAAACAGACGCCTCACAAGAGAGTTTACAGTCAAGCATTGAAACAAGATGTGGGGATCACTGGATTGTGTGTGTTGGGTGTCTGTGTTGTTCATAGGAAAGAAGTATTGATCAGAATGCCAAGAAAGGTCTGTAATCGCTTCCTGAAATTGTTCCGTCGGGCTGCTGTCATTAATTAATCAGGGTGGATTTCTGCAGCCTCCAGAGAGCATTTAATCGACAGACATAAATCCACTTAGAACAAGAAGTTGCTCCATGTCGACTTCCATGATATGAATTTGTAATTAAAGTGCTGGAATAATTCATTTGAAATTGAAACAATCAATTAACTTAATTGACTTATTGCTTCACCGCAAATTCCTGAAACGATTATATATCATTTTGTGTGAATAATTAACTCCTTAATTTTACTTTTTCAAAGAGTTGCAAAATTCAATTTGTTCATTTGAATGCATGTCATTTGTTCAATCATATATTCAAGATCTTGCTTGTATCCTAAAGAAGATCTATAGAAAATAAGACCCCAAAAAGTCAAGAGCTGTGAACAGTAGCAGTGTAAACCATATGATTTCCAAAAACCTGTGAAGGCCAACTCACATGCTGCAGTTTGTGGCCTCTGTTTAGGGTTTACTATATTCTATTGTGACAGCTTCTTTACACAATCTAATTTAATCTGCAAAATAAATGATGTCTTTAGGTTTGCCAGATGAATTTTGAAATTTAAACAAACATTTCCATTCCTGTGCGACACGAAGAATAGACATTTGAATAGCCCCCCCCCTTTCCTCCGCTCTCTTCTCCGCTCCGGTCCATAGCCTCCGCTCCTCTGTCCAAATCAAATGTTTAAAAGATGTTTTTAAGAAGTCGCTCCGTGGTCAGACACAGCTGTTGGAGGCTCCGCACAGAAGCAGGGTGGCTCCTAATACACTCTGAAAGCCGGGAGAGAGTGAGCGTCTTCCACCAATCACCACCACCTATTACCATGTTAACCCCTGACCCCTCGTTGTGTCTCTGGGGTCGCAGCGAGAGGAGAGGAGCGGGGCGCCGCAGGAAATTGAAAGCATGCTGTAACAGAGGCAGACAGGAGCAGATGTGTACAGATGTTCAGGTGGAGGGACTCAGAGGACCGATAATCACTGATCAGGTCTCTGGTATAAAGCATTGTGGCTTGATATTGCGCTGCGGCTCATTGATGTCGCCCCTGTTTATGAACATCTGGGCAGTAAATCTGTCAGTGCAACCACAAAAAGCCCCCTTGACAGCCTAATGTAATTTTGTAAGACCACCAGCGTTTTTCTGTTGTATTCATGATGTAAAATAAATAAAAGTAGTGGACTGTGTTGTATCACAACCGGCAAGATTAGGATTGGCGCTGTACATTTTTTTTTTTTGGTTAGGACAAAAAGAGTGTGGATGAAGTTTGATTTTGAGTAGTCGTGAAACTGACATAAAGTGATATAAAAAGTGATAAATATAACTTAGATTTTAATACATATATTTATTTATGTTAATATTGATTTTTAGTTACAAAGATTAATTGTTAATTCTTTACAACTTGTTGGAAAATAAACACAATCTAACTGAGCTAAAGTCTCGCCTTCTGTTGACTTTATCCTGTCCTCTTGTTACCATGTTCACCATATTTTGTCCGGCGTCAGCCCTTTTTATGGGAACAAAATATGTTTGTGTTAGTTAGAAAGCCACATTACTCCATCCCGTACTTAGATTTGTATTAAAGGACATTTTTAATTTAGGACTTAGTGTACATTCCCAGCGATAAATTGAGCCGACTTGAGGGAGAGGGCAAATATTCCAAATTGAGAAAAAGGGGGCTCATTAAAATTTGTCTTGGCATTTACATCAAGCTTTTTTTTTCATCTTAATTGCCTCAATACATTTTTTATAACTCCTCAGACTGGCAGATGAGATGAGGAGGGTAGAATAATGTTCAACATGTGTGGCACCCACTCAACCACCATGCCTCTCTGGGGAACATTTAAGGGCCCATTTTCTCTATTACAAACTTAATTACATATAGACAATTAAGTCATGGGAGCAATTATCGTTCTGTAAAGTTGTGCAGTCGCAGTGGTGAAGAAGAAAAAAAGTGCTTACACAGACGGACCCAAATCAACACGATCAAAAGGAAAGCGGGCCGATGTGGGTAAATATCTGAAGACTCCAGGCGGAAAACTTTCCCCAAAGAAAATCTCAGATAATTTGCAGGGAAACCGTATATGTATTTGAGAAAGGCAGCTTCTGTTGCATAAGTGTTGCCTTAGATCTAACCACATGCCTGCTTCTTGGAGACATCTTAAAAGTGAACCAGACATCCTCCTCCCCTCATCCAGGGAGAGACGTGAAGCCCACTCATCAATAGGTAATTTGAAAAAGCCAGGGGGAAAAATCTGAGCGCTTCACTGGCTGCTACTGTGCAGAGGAGACTCTTCCCTTAACTCCAGGCTCAAAGGAACTCTATTTAGCATTGCTTGATTGTACCTCAGAGGCAAACATGTTATTTAATCCCGCCAGGGTCATATTGATGGAGTAAAATGGTGCTGTATGTGTGTTTGAATGCTGCGCTAGCTATTAGGACTTATTAGCGCTGGGAGTTCACATTAGTCTGCATAATTCCTGAGGGTAATCAGACTGTTAATGTGATCATTGTTTAATCAAAGATAGATTAATTGCTCTGCATTTTCACTCATACAGTAGGTACTAACAGTGAATGGTGGGTTGATTATGGCTCTAAATAGGCTGTAGGCACTTATTAGGTCCAAATTAGAGCGTCATGGTAGCACATTAACCTGTGATTTGAACAGGCTGGAAAAAGTATTTTCCCCCTGTTGATGTTTAAGAAACTTTGTAAAGGTATTTGCATGGTCATATATTCAATCTGAAACACTATCTGAAATCTATAAAAATGTGACGCCTTTCCCCAGAAACAAAAGAAACCCTGATTGCGAGCCACTTTTTTTCTGTAGTATCAACTTTGTCGTCACGTCACGAACAACCCTGAACAATATCTGCCTGCTTCTCCTGGTTCCAAACGAAGCACTGTGGAGTTGTAGAAACATAGAAGAAAGACAGACTCACTGCAGAGAGATCACATTCAATCCTGTATTATGGAGACTGCAACAACAAACCGAGAGTTCAGTGTAAATACTCACAAGGCCCTGTGTATTATCCCTTCTTTTATCCCCATATTCAGTAGCTTGGGGGCTAATTACACTGTTATGATAAGGCAACCTGCCAATTGACTGTGCTTATCGTAGCTTTCAGCCTGTTTAAAGTGTTGATAACAGACTCCAAAACAATTTTCCGATGGAGAGATAAAGCCTATCTGTTAAAGGTTATAAGTGCTATCACCTCTGCTTTTTATCACATAAATCAATGTGAACGTTTAATATCTTTGCCTTGTTAACTCTAACTACCTGCCAATTGTGTGTGTGTGCTTTACTGGTTGCTCCGCAAGCTTATGCTACAGAACGCAATGCAATTACCAGGTAGTTTAATGCCAATGTGTTAGCCAGCGAGGCTTTTAATGCAGCACTGTGCTTTTTTCACACTTAACAAGATCCTACAGCCCCTCATCCATTTCAATTGCATCATGCTGGGCGATTTACCGTTATCCGATATAAGCCCTTAGAGAGGAAGTAACTACCTAACACTTTGAAAATTGGTCTATCTTGGAACCGGTTCACGCTAATGAAACAGAACACCAGTATTATAACGTAAATTCGTATACCTTGTTCCCTCTGCTCTATGTTTAATTTCCTCTTGGTTTGAGTTATTCTGGTCAGAAGATGGCTTTAAACGGAGCTGATACAGAAAACCGCAGGAAACCTGAACAGCATTGTTTGGCATCCCCCCCTCGCTTTCCTGCGAGAAGGTTGAGGCGGCTTCGCTTCCACGCTGCGTGTTTCTACAGGGGGGAAATATGGAGTGTCGAGCCTCTTGGATGTTTGGGTTCAGCCCGTAACGATGTGAGTGAGAGCGCGGCTGCAGCACCTACACAAGGCCTTACCTGTTCTGCCCCACACCGTCGAAAAGGGCAGGCTTTTCCCCTTGTTGGTTTATTCTTAAAGGAATGCGGTATCCCCTCTGACTCAGGCTAAACTCCCGAAAGTATAAACCTACTTACCAGCAGGTCATGAAAAGAGCAGCACGGGTTGGACGTGCTTTTTAAGCAATTCTGATTATTTATCAGTTAACACACACTGTAATTTAAGTGAAGACATAGAAGGCTAGGATTCTACTCAATCTTTTTGAGAGAGAAGGTGATGCAAGATTAGTAAAGGAGCATCAAACAGCGAGCTCTGGCTGTGATCAATAGCCTGGCAGCAGATCAGTAGGGCTGTCTGTCTGAAGGGATAAGCACACCGTGTTACAACGTGTCTTCAGACGTTGGTGTTAGCGCTCTCCTTCTCACAAGTTGTAATCATTCATGCATTTAAAAAAAACGTTCTTGCATTTTCAAATGAGGAGTTTGGTTTGTAGAATGTCACAGAATAAGGACAGTGGGGTTCGTAGTTACTTCTGTAAAAGCGTG